ACCTATTATTATATCAACCTTATTGAATAAAAAATCTACCGATGTGATGGCAAATTAGTGTGGTAGTATTTTTTCTGCCTTACCATGGATCGGCACTGAAAAAAAAACATGGTGATATAAAAGAAATTGATAAAGGGATATTTTGCATTTCTAGACCGAAAATTTTACAATCAGATCATCCGTCCCTGCGTTGTGTGTGGATAAATATAAATACCCTATAAGGTCCCTATGTAGCTTTTCCATGCACATGGTGTAACAGTGATTTGAACGGCAAATTTTAATTTTGCCACTAATTTTATTTTTCAGATTAAAATCAGTAATATCTATTGCGAAGAAGCTGAATTGTTCTTGCCCGTTAATTGTTTTTGCCTGCCATATAAACCTTTAGTCTTTACCGCTCCCTTAACAAATATTTTTGGAAAGGCAAGGAAACATTTAAACACTGCAATGGGTCTTTTTCATTATAAATCATCTAATCGACACTAATCATCCCACACAAGACAACGAATTTGACCTTAAAAATGAAGAAATGTTAAATGCGTCATGCGCTCTTTTAGAAAGTTTTACGACTGCATGCTGACAATTTCTTAACAATTTCTCCCCTATAGCTTCTAAAGTTGCATCGAAAGATTGTTACGACGCTGTATATGAAAGACCCGATGAAGTTTTAGAATTGATTAATTCGAGTGGTAGCGAATTCCATCCAGCCGAGATTCCTGTTGAGCAGACTCCTCAAATCTGCGTACTGCCTGACTCAGAATCTCCGAGTACATTTTATGAATCGCTAAAACTTCCTAGCACAAGTGGTTATTCACCTTTGGAAAGTGATTCGGGAAATAACATGAAGTAATACCGGATTTTTCGCATAGCGACACTTTTCTAGTCCAAATTGATTTAATATATACCTTTATCACAGAATACCTATCAGAAGAATAACTCTATACTATTTTTTCGTAAGTGTGATTCGTCATGATTCGTCACTTAGCAAGTGCGTTTTTTTGAGGTAATCACCCCCCTGCCAATGTCTAAAATCATGCCATTTTTAGCATTGGCATGGGGGTGACTACCTCAAAAAAATGCACTTGCTAAGTGACGAATCGTGACAAATCACACTTACGAAAAAAGTACAGGAGTTCTACTTTTGATAGGTATTCTGTGCCTTTATGTTCAGAAATTAGTCGAGGCAAAGTTCCTTGTGTGGTATATAATATAACAACAAGATTCTAAATTATTTCATTACTTTAGCTTGTCCGTGTTTTTAATGTATCGTTTGCACTAGCTTTACCCATGGAAACAGCTAGTATACGCAAAGACGACAAATATATAGTTATGCATATAAATAATGATAAATAATGAATAAGAAAAAAAATTGCGAAACAAAAATGTTTGAAAAAAAAACTAGAAATGCTGTATTTTTTTCTAATATCCATGCGGTATATAATATTCTTGTAATTGCGACATCAAGTAAGTAAATTAGCTTGGTGTACCTACAAGCTAATTTACACATTTATATGTACATAAAATGGCGGCATAAAAAATTGCCTCATTCTGATCTTTTTTTTCAAATGTTTCATCGATTTGATTACATAAAACATCAAATTGTTATTTTTACGTTCAAATTACATGATTTATAAATATGTGACTGTGTATGGGCGCGTTGACACGTCGCAGTTTGCACACGATTGCAAGAGGTAGCCATTGCAAAGGAAGTGGCGTTTAACACAATAATTTTATGATTGTATATTATCCCGTATAGATAAGAAAAAGTATTCGAAAAAGCCACTCAAAATTTCAAACTCGAAATCTAACTCGAAATTTAACTCGAACTCGAGTCCAAACCTATTTCTCGCCAACACCCAACAGGAAGTTGCAAACATTTCAGTCAAAGAACGAAAGAGCGAAAAAGAACCTTTCTCTACACAGGAACTAGAAAGGCTATACGCATTTCACGTGCATTGAGCATGTTTCACGTGCACAGCAGGCGTAGCTATATAAAGCCTAAAGTTGTTTTTTTAAATGAAATTGTTGCGCAACATGTATGTTTTGTTCCTATACAGGGTGAGTAAAAAAAAACTGACACCTTTGAAATTCAAATAAGCCGCGCACTTATGGCTGGAATTTGATGATTCCCATTGTGTACAATCAACAAGACGTGGTTAATTAATGCGAAAGTGTTTAAACCAATTGAAGTAATTCAACGTTCTTTTTTATTACAGAGCTTAGAATGCATTTTAACTCCCAAAGGGAACAAACTTTACGTTCTACTTAATAATAGTTCACTTATTTGATATGCTTCGTATACCCATAAGATATTTTAGGCAACTTCCGTCTCATTACAGCCGATTACAGACACATTGCAGCTAATTTGAATTTCAAAGGTGTCAGGTTTTTTTGACTCACCCTGTATAACAAAGCACTTAATGTACACTCCCTGGGGAAATAGTGAGTTTTGTTCTCCCTCGAGTCTCAATGTTTCCCTCGACCATTCAGACTCTTGTGAAAACAAAACTCACTATTTCCCTCGGAGAATAGTGTTATTGTTTTCGCGTGAAAGACCACATTTTGCGGGCTCATGTTACATATTTCGAGAACAACAATGGAGACACTTCTCAGCAAAAAGCGACGCACGCAGTTATTTGGTGATTTGAAGCTACAACAACGCAAAGAATATGTTGGTAAATTAGCAATAAGTTAACAGTTTATGGTTTTTTGTTTAAACTGTCTTCAAATGGGGCTCTAAAACCTGCCTAAAGTAAATTTGATAGGCACATATTTCGAGAACAGCAATGGCGACACTCGGTTTAGCAAAAAATACAACGCACGCAGTTTTTTATCATAATTTAAAGGACGATGTTGGAAAATTCGAAAAAGTGCAAAATTAGTTGACTCACTGTATCAAATATATGAAAATGACCCTCGAATTTATAGGGTCCTAACTCGATACATATTCTACGAGAACAAAAATAGTAAAATTTTAACATGAAAACAACAATGCATGAAGTTATTGGCGATTCTTAGCTTTACAAGCAAAAAAGAGGATGAAAAAGGTAATGCATGTTTACCCTGTATTATTTTGTTTACAATATGTAAGAAAACTTTTCTCAATTTATTAAAATTGTAGTTACAGAGTAGAAATAAATGGTGCATACATGGCAATTCTTTCCTGAAAAAGGTTCTTACTGTTGCTGTTGGGCTCGCACTAGTCTGCATGTATAGTTACAATTTGCAGTTACTGTCCTAATGCATTCTTTTGTATAATATGATGCTATTTGTATGTGGTCAAATAAGCCGGATTTATAGATTTGATTTCAAGTTACAGGCTCCTAAAATACTACGTAATTTTTACGAGATAGTCTAATTGTGTTTTTTTGTTCTTCTCTATGGCGCAAAATTTTGTAACAATAAGGTAAAGTTGCATTATAACTATTCGTAAAAATTATGCGTCATTATAATTATTCGTGTATTTGTGTTTTGTTTACGTTTTCGTCTGGAGTCGGCTCGTTTTTTGGTCGAGTCGCACCTATTTTGTCGCTACTCGCGCATGCTTTGTCGCGACTCGCACCTTTTTTTTCGCGACTCGCGCCTATTTGTCGCGACTCGCGAGGCGCGCCAATTAGACTATCTCAATTTTTATGTGCGTATATTCTTTATGCAAACACTTCCAAAACTGGAATTATGAGCACTGTTAACTGTCAAGCGATATTTCCATTTACAAAATCTTACGCAAACCATACTCTTGCTAATAGAGGAATCAGGTATAGAAGTTTGGAATTATCTCACTGACCAATGTAAAAAACCAAGGTCTTATGACAAGTATGACTCCACATGTGGAGAGCAACGGAGCTAGGCCCTGGGGACGAGGATGATAAATTATCAAAAACCACTTCTCACACTTAGGGCTGCTTTCCACTTACACGTCTTTTATACGCACGGAAAATTTGAAATGCTTCTAAATTTTTATTATTTAACATCCAGGTCTACAAGTGCATACTAAAATATGCGGAAAACTAAGTTCCTTTGATTTATTCACTTCGTTTTTTCAAAGGTAACATGTATAAGGATTTAGACTTTTACGTGCGTGTACGTGCGTATGAAAAACGCGTAACTGGAAAGCAGCCTTTAGTCTTTGTCTATATCATCATACTCCTTTAAAAAGATTAGTTCACTATATGACTATACTCAGAAAAAGCTCTAAAACTGATGTACATCCTTACTATTTTATGTACATGTATGTGGTTTCTGGTAGGCTCCTAGCCCACATTTGTAAATAACAAAATTTTTATATTATTTTATTTATGTAATTATTATATGGCACGCGGTCTCTTGACTAAAACGGCGTGCGCTGATTGGTTCTTTGCCGGTCTGGAATCCCCCAGTATTAGACCGTTGCCGTAGTAACGGTCCAACTCTTATATTTTTGAACAAAAACAAGCTTGCACTTTTATTTTTGACACGAAAAATATCGACGGAGAATGGACGAAGAAGAGCATTATTTGGTACATGTGAATATTATATTTATTCATCTTTGATTTTTGTTTATATCACTGTATCATTCCTATTTAACGAGTAAAAAACAAAGTTTTGGAAGCCACTTCAATGCTTGCTTGGCGACTGGCTGGCGAAAGAGCCAGCAAGAATGCTGCAGCGCATTGTATAAATAAATAAACTAAATACTGTATGCCATATAATAAATCCCTTATAACCGAATATGTTCGGTCCGTACTGGAAAAATATCAGACCTCGGTCTTTTATGTACGGACCTCGCTATCGCTCGGTCCGTACTGTCAAGACCTCGGTCTGATATTTTTCTAGTACGGACCTCAAATTCGGTTAATAAGTGGTATACATTACGCGCACTTATTGAAAAAAAAATTAAAAAAATAGCTTTCCTGCCTTATCCTGCCACGGATCCACGGATCAGATGGGAAATTACCCACCCAGGAAGTTATTTCCCCATCGGAATTTTCCCAGCATTCACCCCCGCTGCATTTCAGCCGAGATCGGGTTCCGCCGGATGAATAAAGTCCAACTACTGTCGTACGTATACCTCAGAGTTCAGATTGATTTGGGGAGAAACGCGAGTGTTTCAATTAATTGGCCTCTTCAGCTTTAAAGAGATAAAGCGATTGTAGCTAACTTTTAAGGTATGACGAGTAACTCAGCATGCATGCAAAATACGAATATTTGTTGATTTGTTTCGAAATATATAAAATTTGATTATTGCACAATAACAGCATGGCAATGTGAATGTACCAAAACTAATTCTAGTTTTGACTGTTTTGTCTTTTTTGACAATTATTTCGTTAAACGTTGGTCTTCTTGTCTCAAAAACGTACGTAAAAGATTTTTATGTATCGCTAGCATCATTCATTGACTCATTGACATTGTGCAGTTCTACTAAACACAAAATGACTGCCCGGGGCTGCCAGTTTATATAAAAAAGCTATAACAGAGCAACTATAACAGAGCAATTATTCCATAGCCTAAACTGTGACTACCAGAGCCGGCAGACCCTTCATTGCTGGTTAAGAATAAGCAAGCAGTTATTGTTAAGGTCAGCAGTCGTTATTTTCCTTTTAGACGGGATTCTACTTTTCAGGATATGAGAACTGAATCAGTTTTTACTCGAATTATAATCATACTATATATTGGCATTATTGCGTTATATAGATTTCTTAATGGTATATTTTATTTATCTACTCAAAAAATATTTATAAAATGAAATTTTGTATAAAATAGCTACCATGTTGGTATTGGCATCATTAAGCTATTTATCCAAACACAGTGGCGTAGCCAGCCTGATGATTTTGTCCCGCTATGTAAATTTCATGTTTCATAATTTTTCATGTCTTTAGAAATTTATTGTTTTCACAGTCAATGAACACCAAAATATTAGCATAGTGGGACAAATTCTCAGGCTGCCCAAACACCCGGGTCCCGGGGCTCTGGACCATCAGGTGACAATGATGAATAATAAAGTTCAATTGCACATTAATTAAAAGGGACCATGCTATTCTATGTTATGCTTGTTAATTGTCTGGCTAATTTCTTTTGAAAACAATTTCACTTTCAATTATCTGTTACATTTCTGATATGCCAGCCTGGCATAACAGAATATATGAATATGGTCCCCATGCATATTGTATTCTTGGCCTCTAATTACTGAAAAATCAGATACAGTCTAAAAACTTTGTCAAGTTAGGCACACTACCTGCAAACCAATTCATGTCAAATTTAATTTTTGAATTCTTATTTTCATAGCCTAATATTTGCAAGAATAATGCCTGTGAAAAAAAGAGTGTGTATTATTGGTGCTGGCCCTAGTGGCATGTCAGCAATGTATCATTTTGATAAGTTAAAAAAACAAGGAACAGAAATCCCAGAGGTGGTTTGTTATGAGAAGCAATCTAACATTGGTGGTTTGTGGAACTATACTTGGAGGACAGGTATGCAAAGTTCTAAAAAAGAAGCGCTCAGTGTAATTTTACACTGATAAAGATGTTCATGTCAAACTAGGAGTGACCTTTGATAAAAAGTGATCAATGCAATGATTTGAGTTCAATATATATGCAGTCGTTAACATTAAGGTTGTCCATGTCAATCTATTTACAAATATATAAATATCAATCACATGACCATTAAACATGGGTTATTTTGTCCACTTTTCTCTGAAACAGACTGCAGTAGATGATTTTTAGTAAGCAATACTTCTGTATCTGCTTTATCTATATGGTATTGAACACTCTCAGAAAATAGATTACAATCTTAAAATTTGATTTTGCTACACTGTGTTTCATGTGCTGCTACCGTGTACAATCTTCACTCATCAGGCAGACATAGAATATGTATATGTATGTATGTATATATTTATGTGATTATCATATATTGCATTCTGCATGTACATGCCTATATGGTTACATAGACTCAACAGGGCTATGTAAGTATATAAGGTAAACCTACTATTAGGCAGGATGAATTGGTTTCAAAATTTTCAAATTGAAAGCAATATCAGCCATCTTACAGTACTTAATTTTTGCATTTAAAAGTGCAAAAAGCCATCTTGAAAACACATAGGGCCTATCCCAAACAGCAGAATTTTAAGGAATAAACTATTTTAGGAATAAACGATTTTCGCACTTAAAACCCTGCTGAATTGCTTCTACACAACTTGAAATATATAGTACTATTTTAATAAAACTCTCATTAATTAGGGCTAATTGTTAGTAGAAGCATTTAATGGAATTGAATTTATAAAATTTATTCACATTGCTATAAACTTTAAGAAAATTTGTTTCCAATCTGATCAGCAACTCCAGTCGTGTAATTCGTAAAATAGTTCACCTTGCTGAATTTAAGATTAATGCCATTATAATGCCATAAATAAAACATTTAAAACTATGAAACAAACAAAACCCAAATTTCTTTCAAATTCGCTCTGCATCTGCAATGATCTCGCGAGTCACCCGCGAATGAAGCCAAAAATTTGCGGGACGTATAGCGTCTCTGAGGTAGAGTCCCGCATATTTTGGCTTCACGAAAACATTCATAAGGTAGCGTTCCAGTTATTTATTACAGTTCACTGATTTGCATTCATTGAATTAAGGTGGTCACCTATGTTTCTTAAAAGCCTGATTTTTACAGAGGCGAAATTTTTCAGCTAAATGCGAAATATTTCGCCCGCGTCTTTTGAGTTGTGTAGTAGAAGTAAGGTATTTGAGCGGTCACAGTTTCATCTCGCCGAAAAAACAGCGCCCTTGGAATCAGGCCTTATGCACTCGCGCTTCCAGTGTCGTCTTATATAGAGAAAATAGAGAAAAAGCGCACTGAATACAGCTTGCATATCACGTAGATCATGTTCAAATGTAAAATAAAATAGGGTAGGTTAAATTCAATTTTCCTAATATCCTTGTTTTTGAGAGAAAAATAAACTACCAGTCATGAGATTATGGTTAGCCATGGCCATGAGGCCATCTAGACATCGTTAATTGGCGCCAACTGCGAAATTTTTGAAAAACTATTATCCTCGACACGAAGATGAAGGGACGCGAATTCCTCCCATGTGTTTTTCTCTATATTTTATTCAGGAACTGATGAATTCGGCGAAGTCGTTCACAACAGCATGTATCGAAACTTATGGTCTAACGGTCCGAAAGAAGCTTTGGAGTTTCCTGACTACACATTTGATGAACATTTTGGTAAACCAATTGCCTCCTTTCCACCTAGGGAAGTACTTTATGACTACCTTAAAGGTAAAAATTTACACCTGTCAAGTTGTTAATTTTATTCAAGGGGGGGTTACAACGTCTAAACGATAAGATGTTGAAAGACGATACATTTGTGTAGCGAACTACAGAAGTTCTTGCTAGCAGTATAAACGTTTGCTTCGATGCGTATAAAATAGTCAAATTTAATATAACCAAAGTACTGCATTGCCTATATGATCCTGTGATGTGACGGCAGCACACTATGGCGCTGTTTACACTACACGCACATTTTTGACTCGGCACGGCTAAATTGGCTACACGCGCCAGTTTCATGAGTGCCGCCCCAGTCTAGTTCATAGATTTAATTTTTGTTTACGCAGGTCGTTGGTCGAAAGCTGATGTTCGTTCATGGATCAACGTAAATCACAAAGTACACGACGTCCAATACAGTGCTTCGGCCGATAATTTTATCGTGCAGGTTAAAGACCTGGCAAACGATCGTTTTCTTCCCGCTGAAACCTTCGATTACGTCATAATTTCTACTGGGCACTACTCCGTGCCACACCTACCTGATTTCCCCGGGCTAAACAAGTTCCCCGGACGAGTTATGCACGCTCATAATTTCCGTGATGCTAGAGAATTCCAAGGCCAGCGTTTGCTACTGATTGGCGCAAGCTACTCCGCGGAAGATATCGCCCTGCAACTGGCAAAGTACGGGGCTGGTAATATCATTTGCACGTACCGTACTCGGCCTATGGGCTTCAAGTGGCCAGCTAACATCTCTGAGCGTCCCCTATTGCTCAAAGTAGATGGGAAAACGGTTCACTTTAAAGATGGAAGCACTGCCGAAGTGGATGCGATTATCTTGTGCACCGGTTACCTTTATTCTTACCCGTTTCTCAAGGACGACAGTCTACGGCTCAAAACTAGTAATATTTTGTACCCCGATGGTCTGTATAAAAATACGCTGTGGATTAAAGGAGGTAACAAGAAACTTATGTATATCGCAGCGCAAGATCAGTACTATACTTACACGTTGTTTGATGTCCAAGCAAAATGGTGTGTTAAGTACATCATGGGTGAAATTTCACTTCCAAGTCAAGCTTCCATGGAGGAGGATGTTAAGAAATGGATGAGCAGGTTTGTATTGATATATAGAATTGTCTAATGACTAGGTTGTATTTACACAGAAAGATTATACGGCTTTAACAGTTCTTTCCTCCTACATGCATACATGTAATCGTTAATTCAAATTTTTGACCGTTTTCGTGTATAATAATATCGGGTGTCCTAAAAAAAGTACTCCGGTTTGATTGATAATAACGTTTTACCAGTGATTCAGTGAAGCCATAACACGGAAATAAATTTCATTAGATATAGAGAGAAGGTTATTGGTACCTTACAATTGGAAGATTTTGGTACCCTACAAAATATTTTACCTAAAAAACACGGAGATGTTAGTTTTTAAGTGTAATAGTCTCTTTATAGATGCGTCTAAATAATGAGAGAAGCATTGCTTGTATTTAAAGTGCTACTGCAACGAAATTTTCGACCCTTTTTTTATTGGCTCAATTTAAAGTGCTCACTTTCCTGATTTCATTTCTGAAAACAGAATCAAAATTGGCTTTCTCAAAAGATTTTTATAGCTCTCCAAAGTCGCGATTTTTGCCACTTCCTTTGCGAACTTTTGCTCCGCCATATTGTGGTTTGTGACGTAGAAAAGAGTACCGATTCTTAGCATGGCGTAAAAATACTAGTGTTAAGTAGCTTCGTCGACGAAGAAACTGCGTTTCTTACAGTCCCTACTAAGCCAGTATTCATCAAAATTATTAAATATCTATACATATGTTCCTAACGAAAAGATGGATCGCCAAAGTCGAAGAAAATATTGAATTTTGTTCCGACTTTCTGTTTCATGGTGCGGTTCTTTGCGCGGCTATAAAGTCGATTTCAAAGATTCGTATATGACTCTTGTTTAGCAAGATCCCTTAAATAAAAGAGTATTGAAAGAAGATTCAGTGCATACATTTGATGTCTGAACTGATCGTAGCACAAGTTGAAAGTTAACAGATATATAGGCAAAGGCTGATTTTATCATCAATGCGGAGATACTTTGCGCGCACATGCATTCATGATGAATTATAGTGATGTTGGCCTTGGTGTCTTAATGTGCACGGCGAGTGTCGTTTCTTAAGACATTGAAGTTCAATTTAAATCAGCAAGGATGGTGTTTCTTGAGTATTTATGTAGATAAACGGACCTGTGTTAGTGTGTGTTTCAGTTTGATATATTTCGATACGCGCTATTGCAAAACAGTGGCAATGTGGCATTTACAATAGTGCAGTATCATATTACTGTTTATGATTTGCGCGAATATATCGCATAGCATACACCAATATTATCAGTAACAAGGACATCATATCATTGCATTCGTCTTCTTTTACTGAAAGGCTAAGCAGTTTTTCGTAGGACTTTGTGGCATAAAAGACTATGCGGCACAACATATACATGCTTATATATCGCATATATTACTACATTATATCCCTGTCAGACGGGCTAAGACTAATTTGAATTTTCTAACAAATCGGCGTATATTTTTAGACCCTTTATCACGCATTCCTTGAATATATGTTAGTTAACAGAATTAATTTCCATTTCAAAATAAAATGATTTGGTTCTCCGCGTCAAGCTCGAAAATTCGAAGCGGACAACACACAAGCTATATATATTACCATAAGCTTCGAAACATCGGTACTCGTTATGACGTCACATCAGCAAACATGGCGGCTATAAAAGTTCGCATTTGATACCGAGGTTTGAGGGCAAAATTAGTCAACTTCTACTTAACACACAAAAGTCATATATACATCAAATTGTTTCTAAAAGACTGAATATTTGTTTAGGCTAATAAAAATGGGGTCGAAAATTTCGTTGCAGTAGCACTTTAAGAAACATTTGGACAATATCCTAACTTATATTTCAATAAATTATCGTAAGAATTTGTAGCGGTATACAGTAGCATCATGCAACAGTTTGTTAAATGTCTAGTCAGTGTTTTAATATAGTGCGTGCTTCAGTTTAGAAAAGCTTGATTATTAGTTAAGTAACATTTTTATACAGCGTATATTTGCAAGATAAAGCACGAAATATTGTGCCGATTTTGAAGTAATATTTTCTTCAAAAATATAACTAAATATAACATATCAAAATCTAAGTTAGACAATGTGCACACGCGGTAACGTTTTCGAGCATTTTTATTTTCGTTTTCATGCCGAGACAGTTCCAAATATCGTCAATTTACAAAAGAAGTTGAAGCTAATATAAAGCGTCAATACGATAAACTAGATACAAACGATTCTGAAAACGCTCGCTGATGTGCACATGCACATAGCCTTAGCCTTTCCTCTATCTAATGGAAGTGGCTTTATTGCGATACCTTTTCTCGCGATAAGAAGATATTTTGAATCATTTTTGGGACACCCAGTGGGGCATATGCCTATATACCTATAGAATTCTATCCACGTGAGAGATAAGTGGTCGTCGTAAGATTTATGTAAACTTGAAAACCATTCAGAAACTGATTACCATGCATGAATAGATTAATAACGCTGAATGTAATATTTTTATTAGATATCAAATCGAGTATAATTATTTTTATTAGAGAATCGAGTATACTCCCAATTTTACTCCCAATCGACATGTTTTTACTTCCTCGTTTCAGAAATGAATCCTTGAAAGATTGTCACGATGAAATAGATTTTCAAGCTGACGTTATTGCCGATATTGGCAAAGATGCCGACTACGGTTATGATCTAAACGTTAGTTATATGTTCCACGTTTGGGAAGATCATAAGCACGAGGATATCCTGACTTACCGTGATCATTCTTTTACGAGCAAGTATACTGGCACGACGGCACCAGTTCATCACACACCATTCATGAAAGCGATGGATGATTCAATGGAGTGCTTTCTGCATGGAGGGGGCATGCAAAAATAGTTAAGAAAAAGGCCGAACTTTAGGATTCAATCATATACAGTATAGTCTATAGAACGATTAATAATTTAAAATTTATTTACATAGCGAAATTTAATTGAACTTTAAGGTTTTCACTCACTCGCAAAAAAAATCTCGCAAGCTCGCTGCGAGTAATTTTGTTCAATTACAATACTTGACAATTTATTAGTATAATAAGTAAAATATAATAAAAAAATCACTCGTGCAGTTGACTACCGGGAAAACTATAAAAACTATATCAATTAATAAAGGCCAATGTTTTGCTAATTTTTCAGCGCCTTTTTAGCACCTTTTCACTACTTGTACTGAATATGCAAACGTCCATGCTTATGATTAAAACTATATATAGATAAAAAAAGGTTGCTGCAGCTACGCCGTAAACCAGATATCGCAGTCATCGGTGTAGACATTTTATTTTTTACTGACGATTTACCCCTGCAATAAATAAAGTTTAAAAAAAACGAGAGAAAATTGTTCGTTCAACAGACTGGCATATTCTATTCGCGTGGCCACAGGCAAAGTCAAATAAAGAACGATTACTTGCATGGGATTTTATCCTAATGACTCCGAGTACTTATCGTCTACACCTTATATGCACATCAGGTTATTTTAACTTATAAGTACAATTTAACTCGACTCGCTGTCGGCAAAATATGAACATGCACTGAACTTTTATGGTTCTGTCGTCTCAATTTGTCCAAAGCTCTGGGTGAATACCGAACTCTTTTCGGTATGGGCGATGAATCTTAACTTGAGGCGTGGAATCGTATGTCCTTAGAAGGTAACGGTTGGGATCAACAGTTTTGAACTTGGAATCTTGCAACCACGCGTTTCTCCTGGCGTTATTCATTTTTTCTCGCTCTAAGGGATGAAAGTTAAGATGATGAATAACTTTGTTGTGTTGCTTTAAATAATACCAAGTACACTATCTTAAGCATGCTTTTCGCATGCCTATAACATCATATCGCATGCAAGGCTATTCTCTATTACCGTCCGCTTCATCCGCGCGGGCGAAGCGGCTTTTGAGAATCTGCATCCCCATGCGACCGTGACCGGTCTGAAAAATAAAGGGTGCTTCGCAGCAAAGCGTTGGAATGGAAAATAACCTTAACGTGAGGCTGATACTCCCGTCTCAATGTTGTTTCCTAACGAGTATATTCATCTCTTAATTGTACCAAAAGTCGTGCAGCAACATCAACATTGTGTAAACCTTCCTCCGGTAGGATTTCAAGTTTTGAAAACCTTCCACAAAATGACGTTACGTCACTGAGTCAAGTGGCAACCAGCATAATGAAATATTTGCTTTGTGGTACATGCATGTGATCATTTAGAGTGTTCAAATTTCTACCTTCCTCACAAACCTCATTCAAAGCAAATCTTCTTCACGGCTGCATGGTACCCGCGTATCCGCAGCTTTTTCGCAACTCTGATTGTGTAGGGGGAGAGGGGTGTGATTTACGACTATGAAACTGTATTCTTGCCCTTTAAAGCCACTGTGAGGTACCTACTTGTAATGATATAATTTCTATTGGTAACCAATGGGATGTTTTGCAATAACAGACTATGTCTAATATTAAAGACAATCATGCATGCATGCAGGATTTTTTGTGACAATGTGCAATAAACCATACGCATTATATACGCAGTATAGCTGTGAAACGTATGCTCCAAACTTTTCGTGATCGTGCATGGTTTTACGGTTGGATTGTTTACCTTCTACTCCGGCGCATTTAAGCCAGCGATGAAGCGAGGGGACAAAAGCAGGCTTACTAGGATGATCAGGCGTCATCTAAAAAGATGCGAGAAATATATCATAATTTATCAATACTTATTAATCAGGATATCAGCTTTGATCAACGAACAAAGGCAAGAATTTCTGATTCAAGCTAGAAAGTTAACTTGATTTCTGTTTTGATAACAATTGCTTTCGTTGTAACCAACCATCGAGAGTGTTTCTTAGGGTGTGGTAATTTTAGGGCGATGTCAAAGGTGCCTTGCTACAGGATACAAAAATTTAAGGGTCTTGGAAAAACAGCTTATATCATTTACCTTAGCGATATGATTACTGTTTCTTCTAGACGAACTTGGGCTAAAGTCTCTTCCTGAGGCAAAGAAAGCATAACGAGAATGGTTGGACATGTATCGAGCGCTAACCAGCCGCTGTCCAACCGGCCACTGACGGTGTGTTATTTTAGCACATGATAAACAGGCATTTCCTGAAATTTATCTATAGCTGTTATTCCAACTTTTGCCTCTCCGGAGTGAAAAAGCAAGAAAAAGTGATTTAACTGATCGTCATGCAATTATAATTTTATTATGTTCAGACATAAGCACATTTCATTTCACAGTGAATTATACAATGTCATCGGAAAACTGATTATCTCGTTAACTTACCATGTTCAGGCACTCCAAAGCTGTTAAAATTAGACTCTTCGTTTGGCCTTAAGGCTTTCCTTAGAACCTAAAATAACAAAAAATACTATTCATGTTTTCGGCAAGCTAAGTATCATGCTGCAGCGCAAACTTTAAGACGGAAGATGGGAAGGAACTATTTCATAAATAAGAAAAACCGGTTTTGATCTTTTAAAAATTCTTCTTAACAAAGTAATTTTCGCCACCTTTACACAAGAGCAGACAAGTAAGAAATCTAAATGAAGAAATCGAGGTTCGATTCATGCACATGCAACGCAACAGATTCACCAAATTTTGATAGACAGAAGAATTAAAGAATCCATATTTTGGAAGAGTAACCAAATACTGTAAAGCATGCAGATAATTTAAAGAATGAAAAAAGTTGACAGACAGTGGCGGAAAATCTACTATAATTTAATTATATAGGGTCCCGATTTTTTTAATAAACATGAAATTTAAGGCGAAGTTTTACTTCCATAGTATTTCTTCAACAGCATCAAAAATTTACAACGGATGATATTTAGATTTGAAATTTTAATCAACCTCAATACATCAACATGCAACAACGCTGCAAATGTGAAAGACAAAAACGCGGAATGTGCTAAAAAGAAGAAAACAGAGACGATAAAGACGTAGAAAAGAACACCAGTCTGTCTGTATTAAAAGCTGACAAATCCGCGGTCCATGCATCATCATGGAGTGGTAAAAACATGAAACAGATCAATCTGAACACGCTCACAAAAAACGTTTTGCATAATCGTCCACCAACCTCTGTGTGCCCATCTCTTTTCAAACGTTGGATGTCCTTCAGACTGTAATACATAGTGCCGTCTGGTACAGGCGCACTATCATATACATATTTTTCTAAACGGAAAATGTCTCAATTAGGATCATGTAAATGATTTCCGTTAAGTTTCACAATTTCGGAGTCTGAAAGATAGGCTATAAAAAGGCTAATTAGTGTAAAAAATGGATTTACTATAGACGTACCGGGCTGAATGGGGTACTCGGAAGACCCCAGAAAATTTAATTACAGGCTTTGAAACAAGTCCGATTTGGCGATTATTAATTTAAATAGTGACGTTTCGTCTTCCGTCTTTTGACATCTTCAGACAAACGGATAAATTAATTAACATGGAAGTCCGACTCATTTGATCCCCTTCACAATAAGGGTTACCTGACGTCCTAAATTTGGCGAGAACAGTTGGGATAATATACTATTAGGTGAATTTGATTGATTTTAAGAAAGAATTGCGTGCGTTAACCAAGGTCGGCATGGAAGTAAATCTGACGGAGGTTTGAAATGAAAACACTTTGAGCAAAGAAGCGAGAAAAAAGATTGAATTTTTATCACAAGTATTACACAAAAATTAAATAACCACACCTTCATAAGGGTTCTGTGGAGGTTTTGGATGTACTGAAGGATATCCTTTTTCTTTGGAAACACGCAAGCGTAAAAACACCCTATTAAAATACATTTGAGAATCTTGATTGAAAAAGATCACAATACGATAATGTTGCATTTCTATAAACTACCCTTTTAAGTACACTACGAATACCCTTTTAGCGAGTGGGCTGGAAATGAAGAAAGAATGAAGTTTACTTTTTGGCAAAAGCACCGCAAACACCCGCACTTGCTTTCCGTAACCACTGATCTCCATATAGCAGCTGAATGCAAAAGTGTGGACAAATCAAACCTAAAGTTGATCGAAAGCTAAATAGACAAAAGTGTTTAACCGCTTGGTCTGACTTTTATAGCCTTAATTCCAGATGCTACTTTATTAAACGTGTTATTTAAGGAACACGTCATTTTGACTAGCTATCAATCAATCCTCGGCCGTGTCCATGATGCAACTGAGTAAAATTTTCATAAAGCCACACAAAGATTTAATACCCGCAATGCCAATGGTACATCATGATACAGATTTGGAAAGGTAGGGCATGTTCACATGAGCCCGGTTATCCGAGATTCAACGAGACATGAAATAATTTTAAAGACATCATAAAATATATAAGTCCTTATGAAACCGAACAAGCATTTGTTACTTTCGTAGTAATGACTGACGTTAATTTGAATTTTAGCTAAACGGATTTATGTGTAAACAGACGCCTAAGAATAAGGTCCGTTCACATGCATACTCGGCTTTATAGCACATTTGGAATCGACAAAATATATATCTATGCAATTAAGTTTATTAAGATGTTACGATTTGACGTATCGTAATACGAAATAGCCTCTCTTTGTGCTCATAAAATAGCAACATCAAAATGAAGTACGAATTAATTTTCCCTGTCCTCAAGAAGTTTAGGGCCAAGTTTAGTGGCCTCAAGATATTTTTGTGCTTAAATATTTAATTTCAATTTTTTAGTCGTTCAAAATGAATATACTACTTTGATATTATACGAAGAAAATAATATTATATGGTTTTACTTTTAACAGTACATATGCATGGTTTTGGTATTCTATTGATGAACGTCATTATGATGTATATGAAGACATTGATTTAAGGAATTTAAAAAATCCTGCACAGATCAGAGGAATATAATTATCAACCCAGCATTCTTTTTCACTAAAAGTTCTTTGTCCTTTATAAGAATCCTCCCCCACAGCTGAGTATCATTGAATTTGAGAGCAAAAGTACTAATTGATAGTACAGTTAAACTTTAATGTATTACAACATGATTGAATAAGCCAATCCAGCATGGAAAAAGCGATGATC